AGTGTTATTATGCCCAAAGTACTATAAATTTCAAAATTGTTAAAAACAATAATTTAAGGCAACTAAATCTCAGTAAGAAGTTTTTTTTTTTGTAACAACAATTGAAAATTAAATAGAAATGCTCCTAAGAGTTCATTAACTAGTGTATATGTAATATATTAAATGTTCACTAAGTGCATATTAATAAAAATTTAAAAAAAAATTTAAATTCATAATTTAAGTTAAAATTAGCAATTAGTTGTGTTAGAATTAATTAATTTTTAAAATACTTGTGGAGTTTAAAATAATGTTTATTTCAAACAAGAAACTAATTAACAATACAATCCATAACTGATGTAAAATTACCTAGTTTTCAAATTGTACTTATGGACAGCTTAAGGCTTCATTTGGGACGGTTTTTTTATTACTTATTGAAATTTTTATAGTAGAAAATTGTTTTAAGTAGCAGTAAAAAAGCCACATAGCCTAAATGAATGACCATTTATTTGATTTTGTGTTCCTTTAAACAAATCTGCATAGTTAACATTATACTACCTCGAGTGATTGACTGAAGTTATACTGCAACGACAATTTATTTTATAATCAAATTCAACGTTGCGAATGCTTGATTCACCCTTAAGGTTAAATTTCGTATTCACCTATCATTTTGAAAATAAAACTAACCAAAGATTAGTTTTAATCTCCATCCAAATATTTTTTACCCTATTTTAGTAAATTAAAGAAGAGTTTACAGCTTTAATATGGATCCTTATGTTCCAATGGTGGCAAACCTCCATAGTTAATTGCATCTGAAGAGAAATTTTTTCATTAAAGTGGAGACTAGACTTATTCTAAATTTTAAAAGTTTATTATATATTTTTTAAATATTTAAAAGCTTCAATAAATTATTTTTTAAAATACTTTTATTTTATTTTAGAACCATGAACTCCAAGTCTGATGCATGTAGGTAAGATAGCTATTTTAATATCAAAATCAAGGATTCTAATTTAGATTTATAATCAGAGTTTAGTACTATGAATCGAATCAGATGCATCAAACTAATGCAATTCTAACACAAAGACAGCCTAAAATAAATGTTTTATTTTTAACCAAAAATTAAATTTTCTAAATACTTTATGTTCAAATTTTTTGAGAAAGTATGGCAGCATGTCAGCCCTGACCCATAGGAAAATTCTGGCGGCCACATCTATCGGGCTCCTCATTCCTTGCCATTGGCTTATATGCTGTCCAACTAGATACATTATATAATATAAAATGCATATATGTATGCATGTCATGGTAAAGGAGTTCATGCATGCATATGGTACCAGTACTGTATTATCTTAAAGCTAGCATTCATGTTTCTACAAAGTCCATAACATATGCATCGAAAGAAACCTTTGAAAAGGACTAAACTTTAATGTAATTTACCATCCATATGAATGTAATACATGTACTATAAAATAGTGTATGAAAGAGTAAACATTATAAAAAAGAAGTTGTACTTTATTTATATAAAAGATTTATACAACCAACTAAGGGTCTATAAAAAAGTAAAATAGTTAAGCTCCACCACAATAAACATGATTTTTTATACCTATAAATTATATATATTTAAATACACTTGTTTATCGTCTTCTTGTTACGGCTTTTTATAGAATTTCAAAAGGGAATATCCTCTAAGGATGAAGGAGTTATCTTTTGGAGATCTATAGGGATGTCAATATTTGACACGATAGGAAAATTCGACCTGAACCCGACCCAGAAATTTTGGATTGGATCCGACCCGATTTCAAAATGGGTTGGGTTCAGGTTGAGCCGATGGGTTACCGGGTCAACCCTGAAACCCATTTGAAATGAGCTGCCAGAGCTGCCTAGACTGTCCGCACCTGCCCTAGCAGCCCATACACCTGCCCGCGCCCTACAAGCGACTGCTCGTGCAGCTACCCGCGCGACCACCGAGGTTGCTAGCGCCTTCCAATTCTGCCGCCCGCGCACCTGCCTGCTCACACTCGCGGATGCCCTTAGCTCGAGGCTGCGCCTGCCTGCCTGCGTCGGCGCCCGCCGTTGGCCGTCCCGCTCGTTCGCCGCCTGCAACATGCCGTTCCGCCGTCTCGCTATCACTAGAAGCTGTTTCGTGTCGAGTCGGGTCAACCAACAACCCGACAGGTTGGGTCTGAGTTCAAATTTCAACCCGATTATATATCCGGGTCGGATTAGGATCGACCTGTTTGAATTCGAGTCAGTTCCGATTTCGACCCGAAACCTAGTTTTGACACCCCTAGAATAAAAATACTTTTAAACCATTGCAACTCGATCCTAGGTACTTTCTACACTAACTCTTAACAGTAATAAAACTAAAAAAAAAGCAGATATAATAAAGTGCAATGCAAGTGTGTATAATTTAATAAATTTGATGCACCCTAAAAGAGAACAAGGTGCACCAATAAAAATATAAACTTGTGTGACATCTGCAATCAAACCAAAATTACCGCCATCTTAACCTAGGCTATAAACGGTTACCCAAACAAATCGTCCACGCTGTGTGATGAATATTGAATGGCTTTTATTTGTCCAAAGGGGTTTATTGTTTAAGTGCTTTATTTGAAAGGGTTTGTTTATTAAAGTCCAAAAGGGTTTTTTAATTAAGTTTAATTCTTAATGATTTTGTATTTTATTATTTATTTTTTAAAGTAATAAAATTGATTATTTAGTTTTAAAGAACCATGAAAATTATTTATTATAAATTAAAAAAAAAACAGCCCTAAAATAGGTGTTAATTTGAGGGTTTATTAATTAAGTATTTTAATTTCTTCCAATTACTATGAGATTAATTTCTAAGGTGAAAAATGTCACTAAATGTGTTATTTTTTAGCAACATCACTGTTGTATGTGAGAGGAAATGCTTAGAATTTTTCTAAATTATCTAGACCATACACTAATTGATTTTACCTAAGTGTCTTTACTATTCATCATGCTTTGAGATTCAAAGTGTCTAACCCTTGCAATAATATAATCATGCTCATTTTTATTGAAAATGAAATGTCACAAGAGAAATACAACTTTTTTGTAAGAAAAATAGAAAAAAAAAAATCACAAAATTGTAATATAAAGAGAAAAAGAAGCCTTAAATAAGGAAAAAAAAGGAAAAGAAGAAAAAATTCAATACAAAATGATAAAGATCTCTGTCACCAAATCAAAAAATATGTAAAAGACAACATATATCAGAAAGACAAATCATCAGCACAGAAGAGATGAAATGCACCAACAACCCTAAAAAAGAAGCCACCATTAAGTATTGCCAGGAAAAGAAGAGCCCAACAATAAACAATGCCGAAGACCCTTCTTGAAATAAATGTCACAACCAATATAACCTTCCAAATTCAGCTCATTAGGACGGCAAATTATTAGGCAAAACCGGTCACCAGACCTAAATTTGCGTCCAGATTGATGCACTTTTCATGCTCTTTTACTGTGCTTTTGATGTATTTTTGCAAAAAGGCAGCTAATACACAATTTTAATTACATATTAGTTATTTTTTTTGTTGAATATTTGCAAAAATAAAGCAAAAGCGCAATAAAAGCACAACAAATATCTTATTCATTGAGTATTTGTTGCGCTTTTTAAATACTCAATAAAAGGGCAGCAAAAAGGTAGCTAATATACAATTAAAGTTATGTATTAGCTGCCCTTTTGCAAAAATACATCAAAAGTGCAGTAAAAGCGCATTAGAAGCGCAAGCAATCCGGACGCAAATTTAGGTTCGGTGACCGGACCTAATAATTTGCCCATTAGGACAGCACCTGAACCAAATAGCAAAGACAGAACCATAGGAACTCATCACCAATCAACAGAGCTAGCCAACGAAAAGGCATAGAAGAAGAGAACAATCTATCAATTGATAAGAACCAACAAAAAAACAAAGCCAGAACAAAAAGAGCCCAATAACAAAAACCCAATAACAAAACAAATCCAGCAGCCAATAAAATCAGACAAAAACCAAGACAAGAGCAGGAAAAAGGCCACAATAACAATCACAACCTAAACAAGAAACCATTTAACCTCAAGAAAAAATTTCCAAGACGAATCCTTAGACAGAATAGCCTGCTTGATCAAACGAAAAACAGAATCCAAATCTTTGCAATTACCAAAAAATCTCCTATCAATCCTTTCTCTCCACAAAGAATACAGGGAACAACAAGATTCCGAAAAGAACAAATTTTTAGTATTATTCGACATATACTTAAAGCTCGAAATTAAATCTAAAACTTGAAAAAAAAAATTAGGCCAAAAAAATGATTTAAATCATGAATAAGCCTTAAGTGAATAGAAAAAAAGAAAAACGCCATTATGGTTTATAAATAGAAAGCCGTAAACCGCGACGTAGCATAGACTCAGGCATCATTTTTTGATTTGTGCTCTTCCTTTTCAATCCTTCTAGAATAACCTTATTACTGTGACCCCTAGTCATGTTCCAACAAATGGAACTGGGCAGTACAAAGCCAAAATTTTAATCCTATTTTATGAAGCTCATTATCGATTTTATTCTAAACTAATCATTGTTAGAATTAAAACCAAATAGAAATTAAACCAGCATTAATAAAACTGTGCATGCCAAATCATTCCATTCATATTGGTTTTAGTTTGATATTTAGGCTTCGTTTGATATATTTTTTTATTGTTTTTTAAAATGGAGTTTTAGTACAAAAATTAAATTTTTTCTACTAAATCTCCGTTTTAAGAAGCAATAAAAAAGACATCCCAAACAAAATCTTAATTTGCCAGTAAAACCACTATAACAAAAAATGCTTTCATTTATTTCTATTGAAATCAATACAATTAATTAGTTCATTTTGATTTAATAACAATTAGCATATTAAAAATCTAAAATTAACCAACAATCCCAATCAAATGGACTTAATGTTCATGCATCCCTTACTCCATTTAATTTGAAACCAAATCAAATGTTTCATGCAAAAGTCAAAAATGCCGAAGAAAGCAAGCGTATTAAGACTTTCCAGGAATAAGAGCCAAAAGTGGAGAGAAATAAAAGGAATAGGTGTTTTAGAGAAAAGAAATTCAAGAACTATACATCATTAAAACGTCTATCTCTGTAAGCTTTATCAGCTTCCCTGAAAAAAAGTTCTAAAATATCCCCTGATCCAGCGACAGGGTTTAGTAGAAGTTGACTTACAATGCTCAACTCCAAGCTCCTTGCTTGTTAATTAGATGCGAGAACTTTATTGCTTGTTGCTGGCAAAAAACCTAATACGCCTTGCCCGCAGGCGTGGATGATGAATCGGCCTTTGATTTCATCTCAATTAAAAAGGACAAATGCCTGTCTATTTGACCAAAAACTTCTTCTTTTGATAAATCTCCATTTACCTAAAAATATGGAAAAGACAAAAGGCCTGAGCACATCAGGGAATCTTTCATGGCGAACAAATAGTACAAATTAATTTTGATTCATGAATCGATTTATAAAATCGTATAAGAAGAAGAATATACCATGAAACGGAAACCTATAATAAAAGATGAAAAAGAAAGATATTGTCCAACCAATTGTAGAAAGCCTGCAGTTTTGTTCGGACTATACCAGCTAGTGGAAGGCTTCCCAGCCAATTACTTGTAGATAGTTTCCAATTTTGTTCGGAATCCATAGAAACAGGTACACTGCTGAAATTTTAAATTTTCTGTTACTATCATACCCCTACATAATGGGATAAAAGTTTGTTGTTGTTGTTGCTGCTACTACAATACACAACAACAACAACATCATCAAGTCTTTATCCCACTACGAGGGGTCGGCTACATAAATCTTTTTTCTTCATTGTGTCATGTTAAAAGTCAAATTCTCATTTAAATCTAATAAAGAAAAGTCATTAGTGGAATGGAGTAAGTGTGTGTAAGCTAAGGGAAGAATAATTAGTGCCCAAGAGAGTCTCTAATTATGTTTACAAAATATTACCAATTTTGTCTAATCTTTAATTTATCTTGTCTTTGTATTTTGAATTAAAATGAAGTTTTCTTTATTTATTTTATTTGCGATGTCTGGCTAAATTCCCATCTAGGCGTATGGTAAGTTGAGAAACATGTTTGCATAGATTAAATTTCATAACTTTGAATAATGTAATCTTGTTTCTAGTTCGTTCCTGCTTAACTTAGTTTGTGTATAGGCCTTGCACAAATTTAAAACTTAGTGTGATCTATGTCCTTTACAGAGGCATAGTGAAATCAATTATGATTAGAATAGATATCTAACATGCAGAGATACATGGTAGATAGAATTCTAGATTCATTAAGATGATAGAACAACTATAGTGAAGTGAATTTTTGCTAAGAACTCAAACAAGGTCGATAAAGATGAGGAGTTACATATGCTCTAATGCACTGTGCAACAATATAGGAGATCAATCTTTGTAAGCATGAACTCTTAACTATCATAAGTTCAGATTCATTTAAAGAAATTTCTTTTGATAATCTTAGTTGTTCACTTACATTAGTACCACCACTTGATTTTTGCAATAAGTTAAAGTTAGCAAGGCTTGTAGGTAAAAACAGCCAATGACAAGAATTCCAACGTAGATAAAAATTAGTGAAAATCAGGTTTTTTTTATTTTCAATTGTTAATGTATAACATAGTAGTTCACAAAGCTCATATCCATCTTTTTATATAATGGCATCCTGAAAGTGTGAAAGAATTTAGAGCAATCACATCAATTAAAGGTAAAAATCAAGTTTGAGATTCGACATCCTCCGCTTTTGGACTATATTCTGCATCCAGCTAAATATGATTTCAAATCATATATACACCAATTTAGAACATAAGAAAAATCACACGAGAGACTAGCGGTGCAATCATGCAAGGTTTTTTTAATAAGAACCACTAAAATATGCCTTGTCTACAATGTCAGTCACAAAATATGTTTATATGCACCTTCACAGTGATGTCGTTGTACAAAGCGAGTACAGATTCTACGTTCTGATGATGAGTTTTCAACCGCAATTTCACCTGTAAAGAAAAAGTCCAAAAAAGAAAACTCTGACAAGATGGCATAAAAGCCTCAAAATTCCGAAGACCGCCATTTTTCAACCAACATATACAAACTAAACAAGAAATCTACAGTACCTTTTCTTCAGTATCATCAAATCGCTGCACCAGTCTAGCAGAAATTTCTTCATTTTCAGGAGGAGAATACTCCAAATGGTATATCTTTCCACTAACTGGATCTAGGCGTCTTCCAACCACTCTTTCAAGAAGGGCATCTTCATTTACCTATTGAAAGTACTTTGCATCTAAATTTGTTTCTTTTGGGGCATAAAATAGGCAGGCATTCATGACTACGATCAAAATCATCATCAACGTTTACCCAAAATATTTGGGCTTACCTTGTTAATGGTTGAATACTTAACCATTCATTCACGTTTAGTTTCCATAAAGTTCAGTTTACCGAAATCTTTGAATAACTTTTTTCCTAATATTTCAAAATTAATTCTAGAAGCTTCATGATGCTTTCTTGTCTCTCTAGTTTTCATGCTTAGACTATCTTAGTTTCTTTCGCTACATTGCAATCAGATAAAATACACGAGATTTATATTAGTGCAGAAACATGTTTGTCGAATACAATTTAAAATGGTACTTCCTTTGAAAGACTTACTTCAAGAAGAATGAAAAGGTCAGGCCGAATGCCTTGATCTTCTAGAGCTTTTGCCTGAGATAAGCTCCTTGGGTAACCATCTAAAAGCCAGCCATTTTCCTGGGCATCTGACTGTAACAGGCGTTCCTTAACCATCTGGAAGATCAAATCATTTCTGATGAGCACAAACGCTGGACAAAAAAGACGTTTCAGAAGGTGAATACAAAGGAAAATGGTATCCATACCACAACAACAATGTCATCAGGGACCAACATTCCCTTCTCCATATATTCTTTAGCTAATTTACCATTTGAAGTCCCTGCTGCAATTTCCCCCCGCAAGAGATCCCCTGCTGCAACATGTACCAGACCATACTACACAGAGAGCATTAATCATCAATATATTAAGTCAACTTTTTTAAGCAATCGAATTTACATTTTTTTAAAAAAAGAAAGTTTTAGAAAAAGGCCAAGTAGCTAAGGGCTCGTTTAGTTGCTTATAAATTGAAGACATATTTTAGAAAATGTTCATTTTCATTTATTTTGATTATGAAAATAAAATCAACAGTTGATAGAGTTTTGTGAAGGTTTATGGAGTTTGAAATTGACATTGGTGTCTGAGTACATCCATCCAAAAAAGAAATGTAACAAATTTCTACGCTTTTCAGAACATGATTTCAAACTTCAACCTACCAATTGAGAGCTCTAGAGAAAAACACGTCAAGAGCAATAGCTCCTGAAACAAAAGGCTAAAATACAAGATTGCAAAGCAACAACAGAATAATAAGAGATGAAACTATGGCCACGAAATGGTAGATGATGAAAGATGAAGAGGAAGAGTCCGCATAAGCCAAGAAGACCAAGCCATGATGGAAGCCAACCAGCAACACATTAAAATCACCAAGTAGGTCAGAGTAGTCATAAAATAAATCCTGCATGAGATCAAAGAAGCATAGAAGACGACTGGGTACATGTTACCACCTTAAAAATTCCTTTGAACTGACATTCCCTTCAATGAAACACATCAGTGTTATCTTCATTACAAGGTCAAGCCTCTTCTAGGCATTCAGCCATAGATCTTTCATAAATTTTCTCCTACGTTTTTGTTTTTTGTTTTTTTTCTCCTATGTACAGTCAAGGGATAGTGGTCAAAAACACTATGTTAATTACATGAATCAACTACCAAAAACTCATCTTCTAAGGCTTCAATATTCTTAGGTTTTACATGAGAGATAAAAGAAGATTGACGATCCCTTCTCTAAATGCGCTCTTAGTTCTAACGCCATCAGATGAATCCTCCATGATTAATTTCTTACAATGACTAGAAGCATATTTCCACTCCTTAGGTAAATCACATGTATGGCATGTCTTTTTGTTAGCTACAAGTGGGTCTAAACTTAAACTCTCTAACCTATCAATTCCTTCATCTATGCCCTTCATCCTGGGTAAATCTAAGTTTTTCTCATCAAATATTATATGAATAGATACTTCAACAATCAAACTCTTCTTATTGAACACTATATATGCCTTGTTGCTATTTGAATATCCCAAAAACTCCATCACATCTGTTGACCCGTATAATACAAAAAAAAAAAGAGAAGAAAATCAATCAAATCCCGGGACCTTACCTCCGCACGTCGTCAACACCTTCACACGTCGCTCCTGCACGATCCCTCACGCGACATTAAGTAGCCAAGGAAAAGAGGCCGAAACTCTCTGATTCTCTCGTTCGACTCTTTCACTGACTCTAGCTCTCGCTCTGCCCTCTCTCCCTCCGACCCCCTCTGCTCTATCCGACTGTGCTCGTTCGACGACTTTCCCTTCCCTTTGGTTCGGAAGCAACAACAGTTTGATCGGATGAAACGACGAAGGCTCGTCGCTCCTCGGCTCCTGCGTGTTGTTCGACTTCGCGCCTTCAACGCCTTTCCTTCCCAACTGGATCGGAAGTCACAGCATCTTGATCGGAAGTAACAATCGGGAGCTCGCTTGCGGGGATCGTAACTTTCTCCCTTCCCGTCGTTTCTTGAGCTCCTTCGTTGGTCTTCGACTTCGCTCCCCCGACGTCATTCCATCCTGTTCGACCGGAAGTTACAACATTGTGATCGGAAACAATGGCAGGGGCCGCTCGCTGCGAAGTTAACGATCTCCCTTTCGCTCGCTGTCTCGGCCAATCACCGTAGCTCCTCTGCCCGATCCCGTCGCTACTCCGGCTGCTTCGTTGGTGTCCGACCTTGCTCCTTCAACGACACCTTCTGTAGGATCGGAACTAAGACATTTTGATCGGAAGCTTGAACGGGAGCTCACCGCAGTGAAGACAGTCGCCGACGACTCTCCACCACCGGGTTCCAAGGTATAAATTTCTGACTTAAATCCCGTCCTCGACGTTTGCAGCGGACCGGGGAACCACCTATACGCGCTCTTGTAGCACGGTAGGAGGGAGCCCGGTGCGAAGCATACGACGAGGCGGGTAAGCCCTATACACGCTCTAGTAGCGTGGTGGGGATGATTCCCGACTTCGACCTCGACACCAACACCACCGACGACTGCTACGCAAAGGTATGATGTTCCAAATCCCATTCTCGACGTTTGCAGCGGACCGGAGAACCACCTATACGCGCTCTTGTAGCACGGTAGGAGGGAGCCCGGTGCGAAGCATACGACGAGGTGGGAGAGCCCTATACACGCTCTTGTAGCGTGGTGGGGAGTCACTGCTGTTCTGGTACGTCACTGTTGTTCTGCTGTACGGGTACTGCTGAAGGCCCCATACACGCTCTTGTAGCGTGGTGGGATGAAATTTTGTACGGCCGCGGTGTCCAAGGACACCTACCATACACGCTCTAGTAGCGTGGTGGGAAGGCCCAGCTCCCCAATTTTCCCCCAAACGGGGGATATGCCGGGGTGCTGCCGAAATTTTCACTGAAATGTACAAAGACTTGAACAATTTGAAGACATTCTTGGACAACAATGTAGAAGACATGTACTTGAACAGAAATGTACGGGACTTGAACCAAATGAGCAGAGGACTTGTACGACGAGCATAGGACTTGTTGATTTGAACCTGAACAAAATTTAAGTGATTTCTAAAGATCAAAACCAAATGAGATAAAATCAAATTGAAATCAAAATCAAGTCAATACGAACATACAATTGAACTCAAAAGACTTCAGAAGATCCTGAACAAACACTTGAACTTGTACTCTGAATTCAGAACTAGAACAAGATGTGGACAACAAGAACTTATGCATTTGAACTTGAACTGTACGACGCCAAGTGAAATCCAGATTTGCAAGCATTTGATTCAAATCCGGATGAATTCAGTAGGATGATAAGAGACCTAAATGAATGTGGGAGACTCATACTGAGTTTGAATCCAAGTCTAAATGAAACTTAACCCGAACTCAGGCTATACGACATCAAGTGGGGACTTGTGAACTTGATGAATTCAAGTCTGACAAATATCCATTCAAAACCCAAAACTCCACAAAATAAAAAAATCCACAAATCCCAAAAGTCCAAAAATATTTAAAATTGAAATAAATCCATCAACGCAGTTAAAGCAAAATCCATTCGCCCTCCGCAACAGTTTGTCGAGGCGGATAAATTCGAATAAACTCTAGCTCACAAAGAGCCGAATGCCTAGTCGAAAATATCACTAGGATCCATTCTCAAACAATCTCTTGCCAGTAAGGACGTGGTACGTGTCCTCTAACCGGCAGTTTCGCCGCCAAATGGCACTGCAGGTAAACGGTTATGACCCGGGGCCCTCTGAACCGAGTGGTTTTGCCGCCAAATGGCACCACGATATATCGGTTATGGCCAGAGCCAATACGCTCCTTAATGGCGTTAAATCCTTGAGATATGAATCAATAGGATATGATTGATAGGGCACAAAGCCCTCTGCGAGCTAAGGTGGATTCAAATTTGTCCCCTTAGACAACATCCAACCCAGGTCTACAAGGTCCCCTTGGACGAAGCAACCCATGGCTGCCGACAAGGATCCTTCTGTCAGGTTGGGTCGACTACCTCCTCTGACTAAGTAGACCAGGGACCACGATGGCCCGGGACGACGGAACCATGGGATCTTGATCGGACCCATCATCCATTCCCCCACCATCCGCTTTAAGTGCTAGATGGTGAAATTTCTATTTTTAAATATAAAATTTTCCCAAATATCCCAATCCAAATCTTCAAAACCCAACTCTTCAATTTCCAACCATTTTCCAACATCTGAAATCTATGCTGCTGCTATATGCCAGATAACACGTATCTCTATACGAATCTGATTGATGACTAGCCTTAATCGAAAGTTCTCTCTCGTGATCGGGAGGGGTAATTAACTATAGGGGCTTGCGCCTATAGGAAACCAGAACTCAGATCATAAAGTCCTCACAAAATGAGGGCGAAATCTCTGGGTAGTGTCTTATCTACAAACCCATCTGCCTTCCAAAATTTACCTCGGAACTTATCCGTTAAAACTCCCCTCGACAAATAAAAAGAAATCGCGCGGCGGGGAGGCCGAGGCCGAATTTTCGGAGCCCACAACATCTTGTGTGAGATTTTGTCAAACTCTCTGGACCATTGTTTAAGATGACGCGTTTATAACCAAAGACATGAAACTATGACACTAATTTTCTTATCCTTCAAGATCTCATGTGGTTTTTTTGGAAAATAATATTTACCCTAATGATTACATAAGATGTGTTATTCCTTTTATCCAAAAATACTTTGGCAAATTATACTCATTCAACATGGTTCTGGTCATATCTAATAGTGTCCTATTTTTCCTCTCAACTACACAATTTGTTGGGGTATCTTAAGAGCTAAAAAAATGTATCTAAGCCCAACTTTACAAAATTCTCAAACTCATCTTCATTATCACTCCAAATTATCATAACGAATAACTCTCTTTCTCTTTGGATACATTTTACAGAATTAGTGAATTCCCCGAATACATCACTCTTATTCATTAAAAATGCTACTAACGAGAATCTAGTAGTCATCTACAATGACATACTCATATTTTGTTTCGTCTAAGCTGATAGATGTGATCAGTCCAAAAAAGTCCAAGGGATGTAAAAAATTTCATTCTTAGATAAATGACGAGTAGATTTGCTTTCCTCCTTAGAGAAATTTAACTTGGGTAACTTTGCAAGAAAATTTTGTTTGAATAACTTAACTATACATATTGGCATGGCAAAAACACCTAATAATCATAGGCATCAAACACCTTTGTTCAAGCCGATTAGTTAATTTCAGGCAGTTCGTTTAGTACGATAGTAATATCGTCCAGAACGATTAACACAAAAATCGTGATTTTGTCTGGTACGATCTTATGGGATGACCAAATTGTCCCTATTCTTACAGTACGATAATGA